GAGTTCAACATTATAAGTGACTATAAAACAACCAAGAATTATGGGTAAAACCAGGTGACAGTTCAATGTCATGCTCACAGTTACTTCACATTGAGATATTTGGAGTAAAGAAGCCTGGAATGTATGGAAAACAAAGCAGTGACTTACCTTCAGTCTGAGGAAGAGGAGCCTGAGAGGTCAAATCACTGACATTCACTGACAAACAGATGTTGAAAGTGTTAAAGCACTATGTAACTTTCTCAGACTGACTTCCTGTTTGCCCCTTGCTGTGACTCACCTTCGGGTCTGGGCCTGATAACAGACAAACTGAGCAGCAGGTCATTCCTGCCGATCCTCTTTAAAACCCTTCTGGTCACCTCAACAGCTCCAGAAAGTCTGTAGGTCTGCACCATCAAGTCCACGGTGTCCCACCTGCTTGTTGTCTCCAGTCGGCTCTTCTTGATGGTCATGGGGCCTTGAATGACGTCGGTCTGCTGTAGGAACCACTTGAATTTATTAAACTCTTCATCTCCCAGATCTTCCAGAGTGTTTAGAAGGTCCTCCGACATCATCACAGCTGAATGAAGATAGATTAGCTGTTAAGTTAAGCAAGTACGGAACAGCCAGACAGATCTGACTTTTCCGCCCTTCTATTATTAGTAAAAAACTAATACTTAAAATGTTAAAATTATAACTCTGTAATTGACATAATATCTAGTTGTAATAGAGTGATGTTAACGATTATAATAACAATGACTATTGTTGCATGGCCCAGTGGAGCCACAGTTATGTTGAGCTAAGTACAATACTTAATTCTTGATGTTGGTGTTCTGTATTGTTCACTGGTACTGTATTTATGTTTTTAATATCTATATGTTTTCTGTCATGGTTTGTGTGCAGGCAGGCTGGAAGAGAACCCAAGTGCAGGACTTATGGAGGCAAAAGTGAACTTAACAGAACCACAGCTTTATTGCTGGCCGAAATACAAAACTGAAATAACATAAGAACAGAACAAACAGGCAGAAATGATGGTATGATGCGGCAACAAGCACCAAAGGACACGCACTATAAATACACAGACAGGCGCTGAGCCTATCCCAGCTGTCATAGGGCGAGAGGCGGGGTACACCCTGGACAGGTCGCCAGTCTGTCGCAGGGCCAACACACAGGGACAGACAACCATTCACACTCACATTCACACCTAGGGCAATTTGGATTAACCAATTAACCTATCCCCACTAAGTGCATGTCTTTGGACAGTGGGAGGAAGCCGGAGTACCCGGAGAGAACCCACGCAAACACGGGGAGAACATGCAAACTCCTCACAGAAAGACCCCGGCCTGATGGTGGAATTGAACTCAGGACCTTCTTGCTGTGCGGCAACAGTGCTAACCACCGTGCCACCGTGCTGCCTTAAATCATCAAACTGTAAATTTTAAATTGTTATTGATCCCTTTACCCCGAGTCCTAAAGTGTATATTTATTTTCTTACTCTTCTTATATTTATTGTTTGTTTACTTGCACTGCTGTAACTGGAGCCTCGTCGTCTCG